TAAGTTTCATTTTATTCCACAGTTTTGATGATTTTTTCAGGTGAAACATTGGATGGACACAATTGCTTAATAGTCATATCAACTAAAGTAATATTCTGGCCCTTACATTTTACATTTTTTAGATCTTTATAAGTATCTTGCTTTTTCAAAACAATTGCATATAAAAATTTAGCATTGCAATCACATATAAATGGATTCCCGCTCAAAGTTAATTCTTTGTAATTTTGATTAAGCAAAAATTCACTCACTCTGGGACTCATTCTTGATAGACGATTATTATGTAATTCTAATACCTAAAAACGTAAAAGAAGATAAAAGAGACAATTATTAAGTAACTCAAATGAATGAAAAGAAAAAATAATAAAACAAGTTATTTACATACTTGGATAGTTTTTGGTAATCTGTCCAACAATATTTCATAAATCTTATTATTAGATAACAATAAATGTGTTAAATTAAATGATTTCAAATCATCGAGTAGTGGTATAAATTTTAAATAATTCCCTGTGAGATCCAATGTTAATGGATAATTTCCCTTCCAATTCATTTTCTTCTTGTCGAATCTGAATACAGAAATCTTATTGTACGAGCAATCTAATRCACGCATTCTATCATACGGTCGTATAGTACAGATACACATAGTTTGACACTTTTTGTCAATTTTAAAGAATTCATCCTCGGGACATGGGTATTTTTTAAAATCCAACTTTCTAATTCTCGGCCCTAGTATTCCATTAGGTTTCACACACTTTAAGTTTCCCAATGTAATTTCTAAGAAATTATAAACAGTAATAGGCATATCATCGTTCAAATAACGCACAACGTCATATAAACTGCAATCGCATGATAATGGGTTATTTTCAACGTGAACAATGACATGACGTTTTTCAGTAATATATATTGCCAACTCTTCGATATTCGTTAGTAAAAATTTTTTTATATTGTTATGCCTTAGATCAGCTACAAAATTGTTCGACGTAAAAACAAAGTCATCCGCCTATAAAAGACAAACAAAAAATATAAATAAAATAATAGTACATTACTCACCCTAGGGAGGTAAATTAAGAAATGTCTCAGAGTACATGTGATCTTAGGCTTCCTTATTTACTGCCTACGGTGAGTATACATTTTTTCTAATCGACGTAGGCGTAAAGCGGCAACTTCGTTTAGAACAGCGGGAGAAAAGTTGACGCTTTTTGTCCTGAGGGAAGAAAACATGTATTCTCACCATGGGCAGTAAATAAGAAAGCCTAAGATCACATGTTTGTTGACCCGGCTTCCTTTAGGTCAATAATTTCATGTGCTTTGAGACATTTCTTAATTTAACTCCCTAAGGGAGTAATATACTATAATGTATTTATGGATAGTAATGTTTGAGTATTTACCGATATTAAACTTATGTTGTTGTAACTCAAATCTAAGAATTCTAACTCTACTTTATTTATTGTCCAATCTAAACAAAAAGTTTTTATTCGATTGTTCGCTAAATGCAATTCCTTAAGAAGAGTATTATTAAAAAAAGGTGACAACCTTTTTTTAAAATAATTAAACTGTAGCTGATTATTTGAGAACTTAGCAATCGATAGTTGTTCATTAGTTACAAATGCTTCACTATGAATATATATCAATCTATTTCCTTCCATGTTAAGTTCTCTTAACGATGTCAAACCTTCTAATAGAATTCTAAAAAAATATTTATATTTAAAGAACAATATTGTGTGTACAACTTTGCTTCCGAGATTTGTAGAAAAAATGGTGGATGCTCAGTTGTACAAATATTAGATTGAATATGAATTTTGTATAAATTGTAGAATAATTTACCTTTGAACGTAAACGATACGATTATAAGACAAGTCGAGTACTTCTAAATATTTCAGATATTTAAAAATTTCATCGGGAAGCATCTTAATCAGATTGCGACTTAATAAGAGATATTCAATTTCTATTAGCTCAAAGAATATTAATTCGGGTAATTCTTCAAGAGAATTCTCATTTAAATCGATGTATTTTAATGATGTTGAACCCCAGAAAAGATTTTCTGGTAGACTCCTAAATCTATTTCCTTCTAAATGTATTATTTCAAGATTTTCTAGATCGGTTAAAAGATCACCCGTCAATGTTGGTAATAATGCTTTATTATTGGTAAATGATACTCTTTTCAATTTTTTATTATTTTGAAACAATTCTAATGGAAGACTATTGAAATAATTATTGGAGAAATCAAGTATTTTTAAATTATATAAATATTGAAAAATTGAATTTGAAAAACGTGACAACAAATTTGATGATAGGTCTAAATATTGTAAGGACTCTAGTTTCTCAAATAACACCTTAGTAAGATATTTCAAAGAATTTCTTTGAAGCGTTAGAACTCTTAAATTTAGTAGGTTTTGAAATATAAAAAGAGGAAGCTCTGTTAATCCATTTCCATGTAAATACAGTTTATCAAGATTCCAAGTTTCATTAAAAGTATCTTTGCTTAAAACTAGATAATTTTCAGACAAATCAAGTAATCTCAAATTAGGAAAATTTCTAAAGAAATCAGATGATATATTAGTTAAACCGTTATGGGATAAAATTAATTTTTTCACATTTGAAAATCCTTCAAAGTGTTCCTTTTTTAGACTATTGCTTAGATTTTTATAAGACTGAAAGCTTAGTCTATTTTTTTCAATTATTCCTAATTGTGTTACAATATTTTTTAATGAAGTTTCTTTTGGTAGCGAACAATTTTCAAACTTCACTAAATCGACTTCATCGCTTCTTGGTATTCTCGTAAAAGTAAAATCGTTCCAATTATTATTTTCACATTTGATCTGTTAAATTGTAATTTAATGTATTTAAAGAAAATATAAATCTATTTATTGAATTACGTATAACATATCATGTCTAGAATGAAATTTGTATTTAACTGAATATAAATAAATTAAGAAAAGTTACTAAGTATGTACCTGAACCTTTGACCATGATTTCACGGTTATTCCAAACTTCACACCTTTCTTTGAAATGTAAAAATCATGTGTATTAATATGATTTTCTGAGCATTCACAAAACGATTCTTTCTCGCATTTAGGATTATCAGCGAAAATATTTGTAAAGATAAAAAAAAGTAACATGAAAACGATCGTAGCCATTGTTTGTTTCCAGTCCACTTCAAAAAAGGAAATTCATGAACATAAATTTTTTAACCCTTTTAATTATTTATTCTTTTATCTTTGCACGTTTATATATACCTTATCTTACTTTTAGAATGATAAGAAACACCCACAGTTAAATTATATCAACTTTGCAGTAATCAAATTAAAATACGAATAAGATCTTGATGTTCTTTTCAATTCAAAATATTAGGTCAAGGTAACGATTTTGCACACACATACATACCTTCTTGTAAATATAAACAATATTAGACAATTAGGAAAATAATTCATACATATATAAGTTGAAAAACATTTGAAGAAAACCGAAACTAACGACTTTAGGTGTTAGTAATTATTCCTGTTTATTGGTTTGAAAATTGTAAACACCTTTTTATTTAAAATTCATATATATTTAAATCAGAACAAGATACACAGTATAC